AAGAAAATTAATCCAGACGAGAGACAAGAGAAACCAAGACAAGATTTATTATTCCCCTGACTTGATGTTTTGTGTTAGCCCATGTCTATTTCCCTGGGGAAAATAGGCAGTTAAAACCCTTCAGCTATTACTGAAATACATGCAACTGAATTTTAAAATTTTAGGCTACAACATCTTCATTTAATACTAAATAAAATAAAACAACAACAAAGAGCAGCGAGCTGAGCGGCTGATGTCCAGCTCCTCAAGAAGAGATCAAAGACAGGAAAAGAGTGTCAGCACAAAAAAACAGGCGAGCAGGAGACCAGCATGCCGTGTGGGAGAGGGAGGATTCACATTCTCACCGTGCCACTTCCAAGCTATGGGATCCTGGGCAGGATACTGAAATTCTTCCAGCCTTGCTTTCATGACTGACCAAAAAATGCAATAATAATAACAATAACACTGTTCCGGGCTGAACTGTGTCCCCCCTCCCAAAATGTATCTATTGAGGGCCTAACCCCCAGTTCTTTAAAAGGTAATTGAATTTGGAGATAGGGTCTTTAAAGAGATCATTAAGGTTAGATGAGGTCTTTGGGCCCTAATCCAATGGGCCGGGTGTCTTTGTACAGAGGAGGAAGGGACACAGCAGGAAGGCCATCTGCAACCCAAGAAGGAAGGTCTCAGAAGAAAACGATCCTGTAGACACTCTAGACAACTAAATGGTCGTCTTCCTGTTCCTTTCCTGAATGAAAATGGTGCTTAACCTGAGAGTGGGCCATTTGGGCAGAATGAGTAGGCGGCAAACAACAGAAGTCCAACCACGAGCCACTGAACTCCAGAAAACCTTTGTTGTTGCAGATTCCAAATTATACAAGAAATATTAAGAAGTGTTGGTGCAGCCCTGGCTGGTGTAGCTCAGTGGATTGAGTGCAGGCCTGCGAACCAAAGGATCGTGGTTTGATTCCCCATCAGGGCACAGGCCTGGGTTGCAGGCCAGTTCCCAGCAGGGAATGCACGAGAGGCAACCACACATTGACATTTCTCTCCCTCTCTCCTTCCCTTCCCCTCTAAAGATAAATGAATAAAATCTAAAAAAAAAAAAAAAGAAGTGTTGGTGCAGATGATTTGAGAAAAGTCAGTTCTAACATCAAAAGTTATTTTTACTAGAATTTATAAGACCCTCCAAATTATTGATTTGCTAAGGAAGGGAGGGAGGGAGGGAATATGTATGCCATTTTTTCTACAGATGAAGAAATTGTAATTTTGAGCTATACTAACTGGTATGACTGAATCACCACTTGGAGACTCAGGCTCTGTGAGTTTTGCAAAATGACCCATCCCATTTTTGCAAAAATTGTTTGTATTGAGTGAGCACAAAGAGCTGATCTGGTGCTAAATTTTTACATACATTCTGTGCCTGTGAATGAAGACATGGAAAGACATGAGAAGTTTATGCTTCACACTATTACCCACCCTCTGACTCCAAAGCAGGAGCAGGTGCATCAGCTGCCCACAGTTCAGTCTTTCTGAGCAGCCAGGGGTTTAGTCACCACCCCGCTTCTAGCCTTTCAGGTAGTTTTCCTCCCTCAGAGGACAGTTCCCAGGGATGACCCACAGATGGCACCAATCGGCCACGATGGAATAGGGTTTCTTAAAAACTACTTACTGTGGAAATTTTCAAACACCTACAAAAGCAGTTATTATAATGAACCTCCACATACCAATCATCCGATAACAACAATTACCAACAAGTGGCAATCTTGTTCACCTACCCCTTCCACTCACCCCGCCTACTGGATAATTTTTAATGAAATCTCAGACATCCTATCATTTTGTCTACAAATATTTTTGTACGTATCAACAAAAGGTACAGGTAGGATAAGCACCTTGACTAGAGTGCAGCCTGTCAGGAGGTTTACTTTTGTTTTGGTCTTTTAAACTTCTACAGCTAAATTCGCAAAGCATTTTTTCTAATGAGTTCACTCAGCTCCGTGTAGGAGGCTCCCAGGTCTTGGCGTCCTCTTCCTGGCTGCACACTGCCCCGCCCGCCCTTGTTTCTCTGACCACTACATTTGCGCCCACTCTCTAGCCTCACAAGGGACCATAAAGTAAAAGCTGATTTTGCTGAAGCAACGTAGAGTTTCGTGAAAGTTTTATTACATCGAGTTTTTTTTCATTATGCACAATGAAGAGCGGCAAGAAACGGCTCAGTTGAAAAATAGTATTTCAAACTAAAACAATGGATTTTGTTTATGGGTAGTGTTCATATGTTGTTTAAAAACAATAAAAAATAATAATATATTTTTCTTTCTAAGGCCTTTACCATACACGCTTCATAATTCATCGAGTTTTGACCCAGTTTCTGACTCACCAGAGCCCAGCCCACACCTTTGGTCTAGAGAAGAAGCAGAGGCTGGAAAACAGCAGATTTCCAAGAGCATCAGGCTGGTGGGGGGAACTGGACTTGGAGACTGTATGGATCCTGGCCTTGATCCCATCACTCATCACTATGGGACCTTGAGCCCGTCACTCAACCTCTGTGCCTCGGTTTCCTCTTCAGCACCAGGGGAGTATTGCACCTGCTCAAACAAACACAACTACGGCAGAGTTGGAGGGAGATGAACGTGCAAATGCATTTTCATTCACGAAAAGCCACAGGCACACATGAAGTCAGGCAGCATGGCACGGTGGCTCAGAGCAAGACTTCAGGTGCCAGAGAGATCTGGGCGTGAGTCCTAGCTCTGCATGACCTTGCACACGTGGCCTTAGCTCTCTGGTCCCTAGTGTTATCATCTAGGAAATACAGGTAGTTGCAGAACCTATATATTAAAGGAAACAGTGCAAGAATAAAATCTTAGTATTTGCCACAGCATGGATAGACCTAGAGGACATAATGCTAAGTGAAGTAAGTCAGACAGAGAACCACAAATACCATATGATTTCACTGGTATGTGGAGCCTAAAGAGCAAAATAAATGAAGAAACAAAATAGAAACAGATTCATAGTCACAGACAACAGACTGCTGGGCGCCAGAGGGAAGGTGGGTAGAGGGCTGGCTGTAGAAGGTAAAGGGATTTAGAAGTACATATTGCTAGTTAGAAAATAGTCATGAAAATGTAAAGTATAGAATAGGGAATACAGTCAATATTATAATAACTATGTTCAGTGCCAGGTGGGCACTGGAAGTAGTGGGGGGATCACTTTGTAAGGTATATGGTTGTCTAAACACTATGCTGTACATCTAAGGCTAATACAAAATAATATTGAAGGTAAGGTGAAAAATAAAAATTTTAAAAAACAATGCATGTAAAGCACTTAGAGTGCCTGATGCATAGTAAGCAATCAGTCTCTGGCAAGTGTTACTACTCGTATTACCATCTCATTTCTAAGCTGAAGGACCCTGGGATCACAGAAGCCAAAGGGACTCTGGGGAACACTTTCCAAGGGGACCCGTGAGGGTTGTTCATTCAAGTTCACATCTGTTTCCTGGATCCAATTTACCCCAGAGCTTCCCCCAAACCTCATCTGGCACCTTGGATCATGGCCTTCCCAGGATCCTTTAGACCAGGTCTTATCTCCCGAAACTATCCTCCTGGACCTAAAACAAAGGGGAACCAAGCTAGGGGGCTCAAGGTCAGGGAATTCATGTTCTTTCCTCTGCCTTCTTGTGACCCCACAGAGTAGATCATGTCAAGCGGCCATGTGCAGCGCAGGTGCAGCTTAAAGAAAATGACACTTGGTGATCTGGCACAGATGGTGATATTATGGTGCCAAAAATGCAGTGACTCACTCGACCCCTAATCACACTCATGTAAATGTTGACCCATCCACCTCCAGGAAGGCCATCACCTGACCGGCCTTTCCGCAAAGCAATTTGCCTCTTTACTCTGCCGTGGGAGGGACCTGGGAAGGGGCAGATGCTTTAGAATAAATCTGCCCTCCACTTTGGAAAAAAAAAACCAAACTTGTGGGATTACCAACAGGGGAATTAATGCCCATGTGATTTTACTTTCCCATCTGTCATTTTAAAATCAGGAGTGATATTTTATATTGTTGATACTCTGAAAACTGGGATCCTAACAAAAAAAAGCTTGCAGCAGACGCACGACAACTGTCAAATCATCACTTAGACACCCAGAAAAGATCTTGTGTTTGGCTCATAGAATTTCTCAGGGCAGCGGCATGAAGGAGGGTTTCTGCACCAATTTTCTGTAAGGGTCCTTGTAAGCAAACTCACACCAGTAAACACAGCCACCTTCTCCCCTTTTGTGACAGAAGCCAAAGTTATGATCCCCAGCCAAGCCCTTTGTCATTCACAGAAAACTTTAAAGCGACAGGTCTGAGCTGGGACGAAATGTAAACAGGAAGGGGAGGTGGGGGAAGTACCCCATTATAAGGAGAAGACAGACTGAAAGGAAGTCACTAGGAATGCCATCTCTCTCCCACCCACAAAAGCAACACCACGCCAGCATTTCACAAACCTATTTGATCAAATGATACCGTAAATTAGTAATTATGCAAAAATGAGGGGATGGGAGGATTCCTTGCTAAAAATAAGTTCAAGAAATATTTAATTCCACAGAACAAGTCAGCTCACGTTACTGCAAGACTACCGGAGCCTTTTGCACGTCACTGTGCCTTATAACACTCCAACAGGGTAATGGCTGTCCAAAGTGTTTCCCAAACCTGTTTTACTATCTATTTTTTTATTCTTAGATTATGCAAGAGATTGGGAAAAACTTCCCTAGCTTGATATTTTATTTCTTTAATCCCATGTATTCAAGGTATTATGTTATCCCACAAAAGGGAAAATTAAACATCCAAGTATAGAAAGAAGCAAACCTCTTTTAGGTGAAAGAGTTTATATTCTGGATTTATTACTTCCTCACTGAGTGCCTCCCCTGCTTTTGTCCCTTTAAAACATATCCCCCACTGTCTTGGCCAGGCAGCTCAGTCGGTTGAAGCATCATCCCATACACCAAAATGTTGCTGGTTCAGTCCCTGGTCAGGGCACATACCGAGGTTGTGGGGTTGACTCCTAGTCGGGGCACTTGCAGGAAGCAACCTATCGATGTTTCTCTCTTTCTCTCTCTCTCTCTCTGCTTTCCTCTCTTTCTCTCTAAAAAATCAACGAGCATATCCTTGGGTGAGGATTTTAAATAAATACATAAATAGATAAAACAAAACAAAACATATTCCCCCTACACACAAACCACCAGGAACTTGCCATGCCTCTCAGATTCCCATGGCCAGTAAAGGGAGTAGTCTACAACCCTGTATTATGGGTTGAATTGTGCCCCCCACCCCAAAACTTATGTGTTGGAATCCTAACCCCCTAGTACCTCAGAACGTGACTTTATTTGGAGATAGAGATTTTGCAGAGGTAATTAAGTTCAAATGAGGTCCCTCGGATGGGGCCCAATCCAGTATGACAGGTGTCCTTATAAAAAGGGGAAATCGGGACCCAGAGATCTGCATAGCAAAGGCAACGTGGGACACAAAGCTCTCCTGTGGGACACAAAGTCTGAACTCTGATTACGAGGTCCACTCACCAGCCCTCCCCACCCCCAACGTTCTGTCTCCTCCCTATCTGCCCAAACCCTTCGCATCTCCCCCCTCCCCCACACACCCTTGACACTCATACCCCTGCTAATTCTGCTCCTCCTGCCTGAAATTCCCCCTTCTTCCCAGCCCCCCAGTTAACCCCACACTCTTACCTGCCTAAGGAGCTCTCCCTACTTCAAATTCAGCTTAAATAGTTCATTCTCCGTGAAACCTCCTGGAAAAACCAGGCATTTTCTCCTCCAGTCTCCCACACTTCTCCAACATTGGTTTGAATATAACTATGATTACGAAGTGAGAATGACTCGTTTTACATGGCCGTCTTGCTCATGGCTTTGCGTTCTTAAGGGCAGGGAACACAGCTTCTCACGTTCGTCATGCAAGGGGTCATGAACTTTACAAGGGCTGTCGGGTAGGGCTCTAACGGGGTCTCTGGCCCTCCCCACAGTTCCATCAGTGACTCGTGGGTTTTCCCCTTTAAGATCCCCAGTCAATTAACCATAGGCAGCAAACATTTAGTAGATGCTGCCTCTCAATACACAGAGGAAGACACACAGACCTTTTCAGAAATTTCTTTCTGCAGCACTGGACAATCCCATCCCCCATTTCCACTCAGCAAATACTTCAAAACTCACAATCCAGGGGGAAGTTAGGGTGATGGCACTCTTTACATGTTCAGCAAAGCTATCAAGGATTTTTAAAAGCTAGATTAAAAACACTTATAAACTGGGCGATAGTCTAAATACAGTTGACTCTCCTTCACAGAAGCTGTGCTGCACACATGTGCCACCAACACCGGATTAGTGAACATCGAACCACTGCTTCTAGGGGAGGTGACAGGGTTGGATCCCTCTGAGCCTCCGGTCACATTTCCATCACCCAATGGATACGGAACCTTGTTGTACGTGTGTTTCTGTTGAAAGGCACCTCGTCTAATATGTATTGTGGATTACATTGAGCTCATGGCCGACAGCACTGTAATTCGCGCCTGAACGATGCTTATCTAACACGTGCATTTTCTCTTTAAGGCCCATCACAGCCTTCTGCACTTGGAACACTAGACAGCATTCGGCACCACTCTTCAGGGCCATTTTAAACAGTGGGTCACCAACAAAATGCCACACGCACACACACAAAAACCACGGTGCTAAATAAATTGTGAAAGGGACAGTCTGAGAGCTGGAACAAGAAGGCAGGGCATCGCTTTATTCAACAGGAATCTGCATGTTGGGCAAGTCAGATTTTCAACACTCTGCCCGTGTCCACAGATGACTTCAAAGGAACCATGAGTATTGACTGGGTGTCACAAATTTTAGCAAGTAAGCATATTGACAAACGGAGAATCTGCCAGTAGTGAGGACTGACTGTATCTAACAAGTCATAGGGGAGGAGCACCAACAAATTCAGAAGAGATGTAAATCACATGATTTAACGTCCTGGGGCCCCTAGTGTGCCAGAAAAAAAAATACTTTGATTGTTGAGTGCTACGTCGTGGGCTGTCTAGGAAGAGCCCAAAGGAAGAGCTGGGCAGCCAGGGTGGCTTGGGGACAACAGGCACTTACCAACCCATTATGAAAGAATTGCAGTCCCTTATTAATCAGATTGACTCTACTGGTCCTTGCCAATGTTAAAGTAATACCAGGCTGAGAAATCCCAAGGTTTCCCCCTTACTCATTATTTTGTAAGTCTGCTTGACCAACTTATGTTGGAAATTCTTTTTTTAAGTATATTTTATTGATTTTGCTATTATAGTTGTCCCAATTTTTTTCTCCCCTTAATCCCCGCTTCGCAATACTCTCCCCCATCCTCCAGCATTCCCCACTTTAGTTCACGTCCATGGGTCATACATATCAGTTCTTGGCTTCTCTATTTCCTATACTATTTTTAACCTCCCCTTGTCTATTTTGTCCCAGAGGTTTAAAACCCTGTCTTCATTTTTTTTTAATTCTTGTTTCTTCATTCTGTTTCGGTTTGATATTTATTTCTTCCTTTTGTTCCAAATCATTAATTTGAGTCCCAGTTTCCTTCCCTTCACTGTTGGTTCTCTGAGTATTTCCTTTATTTCACTTTGTGTATCTTTTATTTCTTCCTTCATTTTGCAATTGAGCTCAATCAATTCTGTGAGCATCCTGATCGCGGTGTTTTGAACTCTGCATCTTATAGGTTGTCTACCTCCTCATTGCTTAGCTCTTTTTCTGGAGTTTTCATCTGTTCTTTCATTTTGGACCATATTTCTTTGTCTCCATGCACCAGTCTGGATGAATGTTATTTTAACTCCTTGGTTGTCAGAATTCCATACAGTTTACTATTCTGGCATTTCTGGTTGTTGTTGTTTTTAAATTGGTTGTGTGAGGAAGAAAAGTTTTTCTACCTATGCCTGCATTTTGGCCTTATGTCAGAAATTCCATTACCCTTGCTTCAGACAAAAAACCTTAATTATATCTTAAGAATGAGGAAATCTGACAATTTTAACAGCTATCTATTGGCAACTGGCAAACTAATTATGTTTCAGGTGGCACCACCCTCAGTCTTTGTGGTCAGGAGCTGAACTTGCTCTGCAAGAAAACTTGGTGCTGTCCAGGTTTTCAAAACATCAGTTTATAATGGTAACACACAAGTGCATAGGGAAGCGGAACATGTCAACGAGCCTCAGTGATGTAATGACTGAGATGGGAGGAGTCATCGTCTGGCCCTGGCTCAATGCTCTTTAAGGTACAATCTGTCTTGAGCTGGGCTTCACAAACGGAAGGTACATACACATCACTGGGGAATCCTGGTAAAGTGCAAATACTGACTCAGCATCCCTGGAATGGGGCCCAACACTTCCTAATGAGCTCCCAGGGGATGCTGATGCTGCTGGTCTGTGGACCACACTGTGAATATTAAGGGTCTAGATGGGAGCGGTGGTTATCGATCACACCTGAGCATGCATTAGAATCACACAGTCTGTTAAAGCATTGATCGCCACCCCTCCTTGCTCCCAGAGTTTCAGACTCAGTAGCCCTGGGTTAGGGACTATGAATTTGCCTCTTCCACAAGTTCCCAGGTGACAAATGCTGCTAGTTCAAGGATCACACTTTGAGAATCCCTGGCCTAGACTAAGCCAGTCAGACTCTTAGAAACTTCTTTCCTGCAACTTCTTTATATGCATAATAATGCTAGCTTTTCATCATGCTGGCAAAGAATTTCAGAGCCTCATAAAAATATCACTCTTGAAGTTCTCAAGATCAGGGGCCTTATCTTATATTCATTTAATACAATATGAATATAATAGGGAAAAGTTAAGACAATCTGGATTTATGGCAATTAAATAATGACTTTTATTATCTCATGGGAACTTCCAAGTGCATTCTGTCTCAACTGACAGAAAGCTAATCACCAGCTACCAACTTCTCCTCTTAATGAATTTTTTTACAAATTTCAGATGATGATTTTTACAATTTTTTTTTGATCCTTCTCTTTTTGTAAATGAAAAGCCCGAGAAAGAAATCAACTGGAGGGTAGGAGGATGCGGTTCCTTCACTTTGTATCCCTTATGTCTAAAACAGGGCCTGTCAAAATGTTTGAGGAAGAAGGAAGGAACAAAAGAATAAATGACACATCGACCCTGAGTTCAAATGTACAGTTTGCTACTGGCCTGTCTTCAAAATGACTGAACTAATTACCTTTTTAAAGGGAGCATTCTAATTTTACTTAGAGTTGGGTCCTCCTCTGATAAAGTCCTGGCAATAAAAGTTCAAATTATTTCTTAACAGTAATAATTATTATAATTTAATAAATTATAAAAGCACGTGTGTTATTCCCTGACTGGTGTGGCTCAGATAGATTGAGTGCTGGCCTGCAAATCAAAGGCTTGCTGGTTCAATACCCAGTCAGGGCACATGCCTGGGTTTCAGGCCAGGTCCCCACTAGGGGGCCAGTGAGAGGCGACCATGCATTGAAGTTTTCCTCCCTCTCTTTCTCCCTCCCTTCCCTGCTATAAATAAATAAATAAGCCTGTGTGTTACATACAATAATCATTAGCTCGTACAAAGCAGTTGGCAACTATTTCACTGGGGAGGGTATAACTACAGTTCACTCATCAAGTAAGGAGAACATTCTCTTTCTTCTAACCAGGCTGATTGATCAGCAGATCGCTGTCTGGTACAAAGATGACATCTACCAATCAAATACAGTCATAGTCTATGTATTCAGCAAAAACAACTAAGGCCAGGTATTTGTTCGCAGAAAGTCAACTGTACGTCCTGAAATACCCCCAACTGAAATATCTTGGGATATTTCAAGAACTGGTGAGGCCCAGCTGCCTCCCCTGGTGATGACATCTATCTTGGCAAACATTTGCCAGGTGCTTATTATGTGCTGGCAATTTGCAAGAGTCCAGTACAGTGGTAGTGGGGATTAAAGAACAGTGAGGAGTAATCTGTACATAATGTAGTTCCCAGTTTATCTGGAGAGAAGAGAAGGTAAACAAGTGACTTTGTGTTATAATTGATGTGTGTACAATGGTCATGAAAAGAGCAGGTACTGACAATATAACTTGTTGGGGGAGTCAAGAAAGACTGATTTAAAAGTGACATTTACACTGGCTCTTAAAGGCTGTGTAGAAACTAACTTAGAGCAAAAGGCAGCACAGTACATTCTAGAAAGAGAACAGCATGTGCAGATGTATTGTGAAGTGCACCGTAAGAGAAAAATAAACATTGTTCAAGCAGAAGGGGATGGGGAGAGTGTTGACCCGGTGTTCCATGTCACCTGGGTCACCCAGGCCACACGGCTACGTAGAACAACACCTGAAACAAACAATTAGTTAATGACTGAGCCCAAACTATGGAATGAGAACCGCATATAGTTCTCTCCAGTCACATGAGCAACAAATCAACCTGGAAAGGTCTGGGATTACTTTCCAGTTTCTCATTACAAGAGAAATGGTAAAAGTCCTTAGCCACTGGGACCCTGTTACTTCAGATTATTTCTTCTCTTGTTGCTCACAATCTGCAGATCCACTCACTTCGTTGATCCATTCTCATTGTTTTCACCCCAGTGTGTTTGGCGCTGTTTTCTTGGATCAGAACCTGTACATTCATTGGCTGCCTCTGCATATATTTAAGTATTTAAGACACATTCTCCCACCTTTTGGGGTGCTTGTGAGGATTAGAGGAGATATATCTATATATATATAAAGTGCCTTGAACATGCAAGTCATTTAATCAACATTTCTTTTAACTTTTAAAATCAGAAAAATGTATGGTAAAAAAAAAGGAAAAAATTCTTGCTGTAAAATATCATTGCCTATTGTTGGCAGTTTTACATAGCACATTTTTATCACCTCTAAGATGTGGCTCGCTCTTGGCAACTACTCTCCAAGTAGAGTGGGGATCTTTGTTATGCAGCAGCCACATAGCTCAGCTAACTTATTAGGCAGGTTCTGACTCTGAGCTCCCAAACTCTGCAGGGCCTGCCAGAGTATGGGACAGCTACACTTCATCTGGAGAGCTGACATCTAATTTCCACTGTCCTTCTAGGGTCACTCCACCAAATCAGCTCATCAACAAGTATAACCCATGTAAAACAAGCCACCATGAGGCACAGTCTAAAGTCGAGTTTGTTAGCAAACAGAAAATGGAAGAATCAAACATTATCCTATGTCCTCCAGATCATCTCCCCGTCACAGCTCACAGCTACACTCCTCTCTCCAAAAGCCTCACCTTTCACTCCATTATTATCCAGGTCTCTCTGTTCAAGTTTCACCTATTCAGAGACCTCCTGATATCTATATCCAATAATATCTGTTTCTTCCCCTTTATCTTGCTTAATTTTTTTCACAGACCTTATTACTATCAGAAGTTATATCATGTAACTCTAGGGGTTTGATTTTGTTATGTTATGTTGTTATAACCATAATTCACTGCTTATATCCCTAGCACTTTAAAGTTGTCTGGGCACATAGCTCAATAAATATTTAACTGAATGTCAAAAAAACCAGTAGTCTAAAATAACAATGCATATTATGTACAGGGTGTAGCAAAAGCAGGTTCACAGTTGTGAATACTCAGTGTTTTGTAAATTTATTATTTCTTTTCCATACAAACAACAGTAAACCTACTTTGCCCCACCCTATATATTATTTATCGAATCCCCCTCCCGGCTCCCCCCACAAATTTTATGAGTTAAGCACTATTATTGTCCCCATTTTATAGGTGAGAAAACTAAGGCTTCAGGAGCTCAAGGAGTTTGCCTGGAGACACACAGGTCGCATGAAGTGAGATCTGGAGTCAAGCTATGCATGTGCGCTTAACCTCTGCACCACATCCTGCTCTGAAGAATTGGAAAGTGGACAAGTGGTTAGATTAATGGGCCTTTGAGGTAACTTTGCCAAGATCATCTTGGGAGGAGCAGTTTCGGATTTCACCTGGGAAATTCCTGCGGCTGTGAACTACCACTTGCAGGTTTTTTGTGAGGATGGTGTAAAGCCCTTGTCACAGGGTCTGACCACACAAAGCTTTCAGAATGCCCTGTGTGTTACCCTTAAGTTGCTGAACTCAGGGGGCTCATAACTTGGAATGTTCTATTCAAGAACAAGATGTGGCTGTTGTTGGGCAGTTTTATTTAGAAGAGACACGGGGGAATCACATCCAAAGCTCTATCTCCCAGAAGGGAGGCTCGGCCACTGCCTATACCCACTATTTGGTTAATCACAGGTTGATTTCTTCTTCGCTGTTGGTTAAACTTACCCGGTTGGGTTCCAGTCAAGCTCATTTGGTTGCAGCTGAGTCTGCAAAATACTGTTACATTTTAACATTTAGTCAGAATGCCGCTTAAAAAGATAAAACGACAAAAGAATAGCATTTAATAAGGACCATCCTCCTAACTACTTAGAAAGTGTTTTTATTTAATTGTGAGTATATCTTCAGACAACTAGTCTCGTTGGAGCTCTGGTAAATAATTGACTGACCATTTTCTGAGATTAAAAAGGCTGAACTACGTAAAAATTGAATACTTTATCATGACAAAAATTTCATCAACAAACCCGCCAAGATGGAGGCATAGGTGGAGACGTGCTTTCTCACACAACCAAGTTTAGAGACAACTAAATATTAGCAACAGAAAACACAGCCAGAACACAAAAAAATTGAACTTTTTGGAAGTCGGATAACAACAAATTCTTCCGCCTGACCGGTAAGGGGGGGCGAAACCAGCAGCTGCGCAGAGCGGGGTTGCCAGGAAAAACTCGGTCAGACAGACTCGGGTGCACGGAATCCAGGCGCAGGGTTGGACCTAGTGAGCGACCGAGCAAGAGACCTCGAGGAAACAGCGAGGGAGCAGGGCTGCGAGTTGACTGTGGTCTCGCATTCGTGTGCGGATAGACAAGCAAGGGCGTGGGCAATTGGACGAGAGCCAGCAGCCCCAGTGGCAAGCTGCAGCAGAGGGCACCGCCATTTCCCTGCTCCAACCACGCCCCCACATACAGCGTCACAACCCAGCGACCTGGGAGTCCAAGGCTCCGCTCCTCGTACTTAAGGGGCACAAACAGACCAAAAATGGCTCAAGAATATCTCAAAGCCCCAGAGCCTATAAATCTAAGCGATGAAGAAACAGCAAAACTCTCAGACACACAGTTTAAAACACTGGTGATCAGGGTCCTCACAGAATTGGTTGATTAAAGCCACGAATTAGAGAAACATATGAAGGAAAAACTAATTGAAATGAATGAAATTGCACAGGAAACCAATAGCGATGAAAAGGAAACTGGGACTCAGATCAGTGGAGTGGACCAGAAGAAAGCAAATAATGGCCAAACAGAAAAGAGTCAAGAAGCAAGAATTCAAAAAAATGAGGAGAGTTTTAGGAACCTCCAGGACATCTTTAAACACTTCAACATCCGAATTATAGGGGTGCCAGAAGGGGGAAAGGCACAGCCACCAGTGGAAAACTTATTTGAACAAATAATAAAGGAGAATTTCCCCAATCTGGCAAAGGAAATAGACTTCCAGGAAATCCAGGAAGCTCAGAGAGTCCCAAAGAAGTTGGACCCAAGAAGGAACACACCAAGGCACATCATCATTATATTAGCCAAAGTTAAAATGAAGGAGAGAATCCTAGAAGCAGCAAGAGCTAAGGGGACAGTCACCTATAAAGGAGTCCCCATCAGACTGTCAGCGGATTTCTCAAAAGAGACCTTACAGGCAAGAAGGGGCTGGAAAGAGGTATTCCAAGTCATGAAATCCAAAGACCTACAACCAAGATTGCTCTATCCAGCAAAACTTGCATTTAGAATGGAAGAACAGATAAAGTGTTTCTCAGATAAGATCAAATTCAAGGAGCTCATCATCACCAAGCCCTTATTATATGAAATGTTAAAGGGACTTATCTAAGAAAAAGAAGTTAAAAAAAACATGAACAGTGAAAGGACAGCAAACTCACAGTTATCAACAACCACACCTAAAACAAAAGCAAACTAAAAGGACAGCTAGATCAGGAGTGGAAACATAGAAATGAAGATCTCAAGGAGGGTTAGCAACAGGGGAGTTGGAGGAGGAGAAGAGGGGAGAAGGTACAGAAAATAAGTAGCATAGACAGTAGGTAGAAAAGACAGGGGGAAGGGCAAGAATAGTATGGGAAATACAGAACCTAAAGAACTTGAGACACATGGTCATAAACTAAAGGGGGGAATGGTGGGGATGGGAGGTAGGGTGGAGGGGAATGAAGGGGGGGAATAGAACAACTGTAATGGCATAATCAATAAAAAATAAATAAATTTAAAAAAAGAAAAAAGAAAAAGAAAAAAATTTCATCAACAAAATTTAAACAAATAACAGACTTCTGCCAAGATGAAAGCATAGGTAGAGATGTTGTGCTTTCTCCCACAACCAAGTTGAGAGACAACAAAATATTAGTAACAGAAAACACAGCCAGAACACAGAAAATTGAACTTTTTGGAAGTCTGATAACAATGAATTCTTCAGCCTGACCGGTAAGAGGGGCGAAGCTAGCAGCTGGCACAGCAGGGTTGCAGAGGAAAACTCGGTCGGACGGACTCGGGCGCGTGGATCCCAGGCGTGGAGTTGCAATGGGCGGACCCAGTGAGCAACCCATTGAGCAACTGGCGTACCCAGCGAGGGTGCAGGGCAGCGGGTTGACTGTGGTCCTGCATTTGTGCTCAGATAGACCTGCAAGGGAGTGGGTGATGAGACGACGGGAAGGAGCAGGCCCCAGCAGCCAGAAGCAGCAGAGGCGGCCGCCATTTCCCCACTCTTACCCCGCCCCCACATACAGCGTCACAACCCAGCGACCTGGGCGGCCCCGCCCTGGTAAAGAACTAAGGCTCTGCTCCTCATAATTAACGGGTGCAGACAGACCAAAAATGGCTTAAGAAGATCTCAAAGCCCCAGAGCCCATAACTCTAAGCGATGAAGAAATAGCAAAACTTTCAGATGCACAGTTCAAAACACTGGTCATCAGGATGCTCACAGAAGTGGTTGATTATAGTCACAAATTAGAGGAACATATGAAGGCTAAAATAATTGAAATGAATGGAAATGCATAGGAAACCAATAGTAATGGAAAGGAAACTGGGACTCAAATCAAAGGAATGAACCAGAAGGAAGGAAAAAAATGACCAAACAGAAAAGGATGAAGAAACAAGAATTCAAAAAAATGAGGAGAGGCTTCAGAACCTCCAGGACATCTTTAAATGCTCCAACATCCGAATTACAGGGGTACCAGAAGGGGAAGAGGAACAGCCACGAGTGGAAAACTTACTTGAACAAATAATGAAGGAGAACTTCCCCAATCTGGCAAAGGAAATAGACTTCCAGGAAATCCAGGAAGCTCAGAGAGTCCCAAAGAAGTTGGACTCAAGAAGGAACACACCAAGGCACATCATCATTATATTAGCCAAAGTTAAAATGAAGGAGAGAATCCTAGAAGCAGCAAGAGCTGAGGGGACAGTCACCTACAAAGGAGTTCCCATCAGACTGTCAGCAGATTTCTCAAAAGAG